TGCACTTGGGTTCATCTTCTTTGGAGTTACAGTACATTCTAGACTTCACAGCTAATCAGCTTTGCCAGTTTCAAGAAATAGCTCTGGGACACTTTAGGGACCATTCAGATGTTCAGTCTTTAGTCCTGAAAATCAATTACTTTGATTGCAGATGGACGCCGCACATTCATTGCAATGCACCCGGTTTTTTTTTCGGGAACCAAGATGGAAAAATCTCAGTACTTAGTTTCCAATTCATCATCATGGCCTATAATTTGTCTTTAATGTCATGGCCACTGCTGTACACCTGCATTTTCCCACATTTTTTCTTGTGCGTCTGTCTGTGTGTGTGTGTTTGTGTATTGTGGGTGTGGCTTCCCTCCTGGCTCCCAGCTCTGCACACCTGTCTGCAATCAGCTCATCACCACTTCCGATTTACTCACCTGCATCTCTCAACTCAGTATTTCATACACAGCTCAGCAGACATCCAGCATCAGATTGTTTGGTCACCTCAGTGGTAGAAGCCTTTCAAGCTTCCTTTGTGTGCCATTGTGTCTAGTGTTTCTTTTGTAAAACTGCTGGCTAATCTAAACACTTCTCTCTCTTCTTCTTTTCAGGACTACACCTCACCTGTCTGCCTGCCAGCTTTCTTACCAGCCACCTTCAGTGAGACAATCACCCTTGCTCCTCATCTTCATCATAGTCATTGTCATCCCCCTCAGCCACTTTACTGGAATAAAACTTCCTTACTTCACAACACTTTGGTGTCTGTGTCTTGCACTTGGATCCACCCATTAACCAAACACATCGCATTTAAAGCATAAACGGAAACATCACAGTACAAAGCAACTTCTACCTATATGTCTATAGGCTGCTGTCTGAATGTCCTCAATGTAAACCTTTTTCCTTAAACATACACTGAGCAGAGCTGAGCAATTTCTAACATTACATTGTTCTGTTGTCTTATAGAATATGCGTTGTTGTTTTTTGTGCATATTTGTTGTTGAGATAATACAAAAGTAATGGAAAGTAATAGATTTAATTCTGTGTATTGTTGTATTGGAAAAAAAGTAAAACACCCCCTGGAAATGGTCTCGCCAATGGTCTTTATTTCTTTATGTAGGTCATACAGAAGCATCACTGTTAAAAAGACTGTTTAATAACCAGTTAAAACACTTTGCAGTACTTTTGTGGCAATAATATCTAATACTGGTTGAGATATTTCAGTCTGGGCCAAAGTGGTGGACTAAAGAACATTAATGTAGAGCCTAAAGCAAAATTACAAGTTTCCTTTTGTCAAATTTTTAATCTTTAAAAAGAAAAAATATGAAAGCAGGAAGGTCTGCAGAGGCAGCACCCGGAGTGAGCGCCACAAAAATATTAAGTCCCAGCGAAGGTCTTTGGAACCACTAACAAGACACTTTTGTGTGACTACTCCCCAACACTGGAGAGTGAATCGGGTAATAGGGTCTAATGTATGCATGACAAGACATATCTAAACAGGAATCACCTCAGCACTGTCTGCACATGGCCTTCATTTCCCTGCTGTAGCATTTGCATTGTGGATATCAGGTTACTATGACAACTGAATAAAACTTGGGACCTTGAATAAGAGGCTAAAGAGGAGCCTTCCAAAGTTTCACCTGAGGAAATGTGTAAGGTGTTAGCATGTGGCTCAGAGGAAAGGGGAAGGCTTTTGCTGGAGCCTTAATGACAAATCAAAACACTTGTTTGTGCCAGCGGAGAGACTCTAAATGCCACAAATTGGGATGGATGGTACCACAATAATAACCAATATCAAGGACAATTTTCCCTCTCCTCCGTCTTACTTTGTGCACCTGCAATTGATGCAGCAGGTTGCAGACTTTGTGACTTGATGCTGATTTGTGGGACTGTCAGCGCAACAGCTGCTGAAGACCACTTTTGAAGCAATTACGTTCGTTTTGAATGTAAGGTTTCGCAGAGAGGAGAGCAGCATGCTAATCAATTTAAGTGTCTAAAACATCTTGTTCAGCTCTCCCAGCACTTCCATCAGACGTAGCTGAGTGGTTTATTTCTTTTGTATCTCTTTGTAGACATTTTGAGGCTCTTGGGGTCATTTAACATCTTTGTGGTCACTTTTTGTCCCCTCGCAGTTGATTTGTGTTTCTTTGCAGCTAATTAGTGTCTGGTCACTTTGAGTCTCTTTGTGGTCGTTTAGCATGTCTTTATTGTTATTTTTGTCTCTTTGCAGACGTTTAATATGGGCTGATATTTGTGCCAGTAGAAACTGAATTTGAATCATTTAGAACTGAATCTGAATTGCTCAACTTGAATAATTGCATTAAAAAACTGAATTTCAGATTCATACATATATATATTCAGTTTCAAGTTTATTGGAATTCAGTTTCAAACTAATAAATTCAAATTCAAATTATGCAATTCAAATTCAGTTTTTTAATGCAATTATTCAAGTTGAGCAATTCAGATTCAGTTCTAAATTATTCAAATTCAGTTTCTACTGACACAAAAATCAGCCCATATGGGTCTCACAGGTGTCTTTAGGAAGTGAGCTGATTCAGCAGGAGTCACACCGTTGCACTGCGGCTCAGAGATGAATTTAGTTGGAAGTGCTAATTCTAGGTCTGATGTCAGGCCAGTACGATCAGTGGAGATGTTGTAATCCAGGGCTTCTTCATTAGAGATTAGCGGATGGTCAATGTGGACTGTGCACTCGCTTATAACATTACTGATCAGGTAAATTCCATCTCTCCTTTTTCTCACATAAGATTCTCACACGCACTGCGTCACCCTCAGACAAATGTCTCAGTTTTGGTATCCCTTTGTCATGGTATCGCTTCTGCTTTTGTTGCTTCTCTTCCAGTTTTCCAGCAAGACTGGGCTTCAGCTGGTACCAGGGTCTGCTTAATGACATTTGCCTTCAGAAACAGCTTGAACTCACTGGAATTGAACTGTTGTCAGAAACCACTTCTTCTGGTAATCTATAAGAGCCAAAGATGTTGCGCAAGACACTGCCGTATCTCTATCCAGATGGGGCCACCACAGGTAGCTTCTTGCTAAAGCTTTTATAGGGCAAATTCCTGGATGTCCTTGGTGTATTTTTAAATGCTTCCTAACATTCAGATGTCCACTTCCAAGGACTTCCCTTCTTTCTTTTATTAAATTAAATAATCTTAATCTTTTATTAAAACTTAAACACAAACAATAAACCAGAAAAAACTATAAACAAGTCAGGCCAAACAAACGATCCATAGGATTAGATCTAAATCAGGCAAATTAGTTACTAATCCAAAGGAGATAAACTCTTGCTTCAGAGACTTGTATAAGGAAGTATAGTCTAGCAAAGTAAGGGCCATTGAAGCAGATTTTTGTATCTTCTTTGGATGGCACTTCGAGAGATGACAATGAAACCCCAATTTTTAAGGTGGTTCTGTTTGAGGCTTTTTGAGCTTTCCCCTCTGGAAAAGCAGCAGGCCCAGATGGTGTTGGCTCTAAATTCTACAAGGCTTTCCATGAAAAAATAGTTACTCTCATGTTAAGGATGTTGAATAAGTAAGAGGCTTCCCAACTCACTCTACAAAGAAAATTTTTGTTCACTTCGAAAAGAGACAAGATAAGACTG